TTTATCTTATATACATTATAATATATTTAAATTATGTATGTAAGTACCTAAAAATATAAATAAATAGCTAAAATTATATATAGGTATATAAAATAAAATTTTGCTTTCGATGAATATTTTTCGAATAAATTAAGACACGCGCGCGAACTCTTGATCGCACATATTTTCTCAAGTCTTTGAAAGACTCGTAGGATAAAAATCTGCATTGATCGACGCGAATATATGCGCAACGGTATCTGGAGAGAATTATTCCAATTCGAGTCTCCAGGATATGGTCTCGCACTAATGTCCGTGCGGTGGCACGTCGCACGAGTCGGCGAAAAGCATGCGAGGAATCCGAAGACGAGCCTAATTGCTCGTGGGAGCGCATGGGTGGAATGCAAAACTAGGAGATCGCGCACACGTGACGTCGTCTCGAGCGAGAGCCAACGTCAAACCGCACCACGCCGGTGTGCAAATGTCATACACGTGTCGACGAGACTTCTCGACCTCTATTCTCGTTCCTCCGACATTATTACTCGCAATTCGCATTCTGCAAAGGGATAATAAATAGCCGGCCGTTTTTCGGCAAAACTTGACGCGAGTACAGATTTGAAATTAAATCGAATAATCGCTTTCGAAACAGGTCTTCCTCGAATATAATGCTAACGTTGCACAAATGCACAAATATGCGATGAAACGAAATTTGCGAAATTATCGCGAGGAAATTTGTTACTGTATAAGTAATGTCCAAGATTTGATCTCAGATGCATTTTCTTCTCCGCGAGAATGCAATATGACGATTGTATACTTTCCGTTTCATAAATAATTTATCGTATAATCTTATGTGCTTCTTCAATTCCAACGTTTTTTCCTGAATTTCAGTTATCTCGTAATAAAAAATCAGATCTCATAAAATGATTCGTCAAAAAGTTTCGAAAAATTCCAAGCAAACTCATAATGACATATAGAAACAATTAACGACATATTTATTTTTTTGACTAATTAAATATTTACTATTTAAAAAAGATTACACAATCGTGTATTTATTTCCATTTGATTACATTCGAAAGATACTCGAGTATCTCGCTACGAGGCACGTTCGCTTCGACTAGACTGCGACTCGTCTGTGAATGAATAGGAACACCTGCTCAGAGATATTCAAGTGGGCACGGCACATGATCATAAACGTGTGCTCGAAGTGTCCATTCCTAGCCATAAAACGGCGAATGTTAAATTTAACTTCCGCGAACGATATATCATCAAAAGCGAGATTAATGTACGCGACCTTTCTTGCAATCTTTATCAAATTGCACTCGACTGACAGCCGATTAAACGGAACGTGCAATTCGTTAATTGACATATATCTGCCAATTTAACAGATATTATTCGTGACACGATATATTTCACGCGAGCTGCCTTATAATTCGCAGATCCTGTCTCGTTGCATCATCGCAAAATGAACGGTATTCACCCGCGAGCGTATTCTTCTCGAATTCAACGCGCCCCCCCCCCAACCCCCCTTTCTTTCTCTCCTTCACTCTCGCAGCGAGCCTCATTATGGCGCGCCGTGCGTGTGACAGCCGTATAAAAAGTCCAGGAATTTACCCCCATTTAAAGTATTCGTGAATTCTTAAACGATGTGGCGTGTACCGTTGCGCACTCCCTCTCTCCTTCTCTCCTTCTTGTCACTTCTTTCTCCCCCTCCTCTCCCTCTGCGATTCCAAGCTCGTTGTTCCTCGCGCCTCGCACCTCGAGCTCGGCCTGTTCGTGAGAACCCTGGTTGAATCACGCATCGCGGCCCCTACGCCCGCGCGCATATTAAAGCGCACACGGGGCCTTCGCACGGTCGAGCGGGCCCGCGCCCCGTCTAACAGCGTTGTAAATGCGCAACACTCGCGGAAACGTATATACCTGGTAACCGTCAGGAGACAGATTCGTGATTCGCAGATCGTCCCATTCGGCGAGAGCGAGGAACGTGCGCGCGTGCTCGTGCCGCGGAATAACGCTCTTCTCTAACAGGGTGTCTACTCAAATCTTATAAAAAAATTTCTTGAAAGTTCCCTGATTTTTTCGGATATTTTTGTTCAATATTCTACGCAAAGAGAATATTTTAAAGATCTTTTGGTGTGCAACTTTCTAAAATAAATGTTTTTGTATTGTGCATTTTCTAATGCTTTTCTCATGCAAAGGAAAAACAAAGAGCTACTTAAATTTCAAGTGCTAGATTTGCATATGTACTGAAAAAAACTGAATAGCTTTAGTAAGATAAACATTTTTCGCTTGCACATTTTCATTTTTCTATCACTAAAAAAAATTACAATAAAAAGAATATGTACTGCACATTCGATATTTTGTTAAGACATTGGATTATGAGACATTATATAAATATTTTTAAAAAGTCCCAATAAAATTTCATGAAAATTCCCTGATTTCTCCAGATGCAAAAGAAATCTGAGATTTCCAAGTTTTCCATATTTTCCCAAGGAATAGACATCCTGTCTACATCGGAAGGAAAAACGGAATCGTCGACTCCAACCATTTTTTCTCTCGAATTGTCGGCTGGTTTATCAATTGTAATTTCGCGACCGAATCCTCTTATCGAGATGTCATATCTTTTATCTAAATTTATAATCGGATCGTAACAAAGTTTTACGAATGTAGATATTGTGTTATAATATATATTTATAATATATATTGTATTTGACATGCTATTATGTTATCGAATCATCGCTAATAATGCAAATTGAAATCTCATGAAGAACTTTCGCGAGAAACTGAGAGTTTTGTAAGTAGGTTACGATCCAAAGACCATCTATTTCTGCTTAGATATTGAATAAATGAAACGAAGAAAAAAGTACGAGAAGATGGCAGGATATCAGATTCGGCTTAAAGTCATACGTTTTCCAATCGATGAATAATAAATATATCATCGCTCGGATAGATATTAACGTTCGCAGTCCTAATATAGCATCATACAATGCAAACTTACGATACCTGAGAAAAAGTCGAAATGGAATCAATTTATTACAGGAAGTAAACTCAAGCTTGTTACAAGACCATAAATGCTATAAATAAGAGATCAAAAAATATGTCGAAAAAGAATCCGTTATCATAAATAAATGCATCATGACACACGACAAGATAATGTGAGCAGATAATAACAAACTATTTACAGCAATTATAACGACAAGCTGGTAATTTATGGTAATTATTAACTATAAACTGGTTATGGTAATACTATAATAATCTAACATTTAATTTGTGCGTGCGTAAGAGAAATAATAAGAATGTCAACGATTAGACTGTCAACGATTAAAAAGCTAATTTTAGTTAATAATAACAAGAGCGCGAAAGGAGAGAGTGTAAGAGAAAGATACTATCTCGGAAAGCACAGAAATCGATATTTTCCGATAAGTTACACAAATTGCTCCACGTTGATAAACGA